TTGGGGTGCCCCTGTGACCGCACTGCCCACAACAGCAATATAGCCTGTGTGGCTCACACCACCTGGTTGGGCCAGCCTTCCACTCCCCGCCACAGCCCTGCAGCTTTCGGAGGTCTGGGGTGGGGTCCTGGGCCAGGGTGAGGTTGCCATACACCCCCACCCACCCCTCCCCTGAGCCACCACCCTTCCCTGCCCCTGTGGGCAGTTTCCTTGCCTTGGGAGGGGAGGGGAGCTTCACCCTGTTGGCCTTGGCTGCTGGCATCTGTGACTCCCAGGCTATGGGGAGGTCAGGCATGGGAGTATGAACTGTGAGTAATCAACTCAAAGGACTACAGATTTAAAACATACCAAGCATTTCACACCCATTGGGTTAGCAGAAAATTGCAAATTCTGATGCTACCCCATGTGGCAAGGATGAGGAACAATGGGGACTTTCACACACTGCTGGTGGGAGTTGGCCTGGTCCAGGTTTTTCTTGAAACGTGTACAATTTGGGGGCCTTCTTTATTAAAGAATGTGAAGTAAGGCAGGGTCTTGGAAGGGGCCTGAGCTTAATTATGCTTCATCGGCTTCCGGATAACTCTGCTTCTGGAGCATGTACATTAGAATCATCCTTTTGCATAGCGATGTGGTAACAGCTGGGAAAAGGAAGATGTGCATTCCCTATGAACCAGGAGGTCAAATCCTCCCTGTGTGCTCTGGGAAGAACTTCCCCACATCTAACTAAAAGGGCACATACAAGAATGTTCTTGGCAAGGCTATCCGTGCTAGCAGAAAGCAACAGACTGCAAACAGCCAAAATGGCCATCAAGAGAAGAACAAATAAATAGCGTCAACCTGCAGGATGTTACTATTTTCATAAAGTGAAAACACATAAAACAATGCCACGTGCAGTCCACCCATAGTGAGGTGTGCAGTCTGGGTTTAAATCAACTCTGCTTGGGAGTGATGAACACCACGTTCAGCCTAGGGATTGTCCTGAGGATGGAGGGGAGAGAAGATAATCGCGGAACAGCCAGTGCATTTAGGTGCCATCTGAAAAGCTTTATTTCCCGAATACTAAAAGTAAATCAGGCCAGATGTTAAGATTTGACAAAGTGAAGTGCTAATTATGTGGGCACCTTTTCTGTAAATATGAAGTATTTCTTAATTTTTGTTCTTTAACAAACTTAAGGGAAGTCTACATAACATAAAACGAACCATCTTAAATTGATGAGTTTAATGGCATTTAATACATTCACGATGTTGTGCAACCACCACCTCTAACTCCAAAACATTTTCACCACCCCAAAAGGAAACCCCATTCCCATTAAGCAGTTCTTCCCCATTCTCCCTCTCATCTCGGTCCCTGGACAACCACCGGTTTGTGTTCTGTCTCAATGGATTTACCTATTCTAGATATTTTACATAAATGGAACCATGACATACATGACCTTTGGTGTCTGGCTTCTTTTACTTAGCATAGTGTTTTCAGAGTTTATCAACTTTGCAGCATGTACCAGTACTTACTTCATTCCTTTCTATGGCTGGAGAATATTCCACTGTATGGATAGATTACAGTATGTCTATCCATCCACTGAATTGGGGCTGTTTCTACCTGTTGGTTATTGTGAACAGGGCTGCTACAAACATGCATGTCATGTATCTATTCAGGTCCCTGCTTTTAATTATCTTGGTTAAAAATCTAGCCATGGAATTGCTGGGTCATATGGTAATTTCTTTTTTCAGGAACCACCAAACTGTTTTCCAGAAGCAGAGGAACCATGTTAGTTTCCACCAGCAGTGTATGAGGGTTCTAATTTCATCCTGGCCAACACTTGCTATTTTCTGTTTTGTTTTTTTTTAAATAATAATCACCATAATTTCACGTGAAATCGTACCTCATTGTGGTTTTTATTCCATTTTCCTAATGACTAATGATGCTGAACCTCTTTTCATGTGCTTATGGGCCATTTATATAGCTCTTCTGGAGAAATGTCTATTCACGTTTGTTGCATATTTTCTAACTGGCTTGTGTGGCTTTTTGTTGTTGAGTTGTAATAGTCTGTAATTTTAAAAAACCCTCCCAGTACTATGGTGAGCTCTGGGAATTGTGCAAGACTGTTGAATCACAGATCTGTACCTCTGAAACAAATAATGCAATATATGTTAAGAAAAAAAAAAGAAGAAGATAGCAGGAGGGGAAGAATGAAGGGGGGGAAATCAGAGGGGGAGAGGAACCATGAGAGATGATGGACTCTAAAAAACAAACTGAGGGTTCTAGAGGGAAGGGGGATG